CTACTACGGAAGAAACCCTGTCTTTGCCCTGCCAGTCTAGCGAAGTGTCCCGCGATCCTTCAAGCTAACATTGATATGATCCAATTGTGCGGCCTTGAATGCGAAGTACGAGCCAAACCAATGCCTACATGTATGTCACTCGTGCTCCATCCCACCGGCAAATATAGTTAACCCAGCATCAGGGTCTGGGTCCACACTCTTCAGCCCGATCTGATCTTCTTTTCACGCTTCATACCTACACTAGGAACGGGTAACCAACGAATCTAGAGCGTTTGCACTTGGCTGTTCTATCGTCTACAGCAGCACTCAGCAAGTGCGATGAGACAAGATGGCGGCTGAGCTTTACTTTGAGCAATGCTGGGCTATTCTGAGCACCATCGGCATCTCGAACGTTTTCCTGGGCTTCATCGTCATCAGCATCACGAAATTCTCAAGCATCGCGCTGGTCCCGATCATCACTAGCATGGCCTGTGCCATCGCGAATGGGCTATGTTTCCAAATATTTTACACGGATAGTTCACCATTGGACAGGGCGCTCGCGTCCGCGTTCGCCGACACTTTCTGGCTGGTACGACATCCGCCTGACCCCTGGCGCGCGACTTCCATGATTGACACCTAGTCTAGGTCCAAGAAGCCGGCATATCATTCTACTCATACGCCATGTTGACTCACATGTTGACGGGCCGCAGTCGAACAATCTACCTGACGGTCTTCTGGATTCTGTTTGTCGGCATCACCTTTCTTCGCGGCACGATCTTGACAGCTCGGGTCATAGGCATCTACGATGAAACCAATAACACCGCCTCGAAGGTGGTCGACTTTGCTCACGTGGGATACTTTGTGCTTCTGGCTCTTCTGGAATGTTTGAGCGCCTTCTACTTGCTCCGGAAATTCGCGTCGACGAAGAAGAGGTCGTTGCGGGCTGCGCTGAATATCACCTTATGGGGTCACTTGATGCGTAGCACAGAGATACGGGTGTCTTCTTTGGCGTTGATCGGGGTGTCGAGGTCCATCACCTACACTTTCCATCCGTCGCTATTGAATACGCCTACCACGACGCCCAGGCAGATCGACCGATTTGTGTACACCTTGGAATGTATATTTCCTGTCATTCTATAGTGAGTATAATCTTCTTGAAGCTTTTATCGATTCATCGGCTTACCTAGATGTTGCAGTTTCGATCTGTTAGCTTGCAAGATCCAGTCCGAGAATCATGGAGCAAAGAACGGCTCTAACATACGGCACGTGGAAACACCAAACGTCTTAAGAGATTTTGTTACTGGCGAGCTGAGCAGTACAATCTCGCCTTCGTCAGAAAAGCCTCTTGAGAGTTGTAGAGAAAGTAGAAGATAGTGTGAACGTTCGAATCGATGTGGCTTGAAAAGTTTGACTGAAAAGTTGGTACTGGACTGCTGCAGGTAATGAACGCACCTTGCATGAGCTGCATTCGTGGTCTTACTTATTCTGGCAGGCCCCTAGCCGTATCTCAGATCACACCTTCCTGGACTGCATGTTCCTCGGGCATAGTTCCCGAAGCCACATCGGGTTGACGTAGTCCAGCTAAGACAGCGTAACTTGAGTGGGCCTGTCGCCGAACCCCTCTTGCAAAACACTCTCATAGGTGCGGTGTGTTGATGAACTATCATACTCTGCATCATAGTTACGATATACCCCCACTCATTGTTCCATTACAATCGGCATCTACACCAGGTATTTGACGCAAGGAGGCCCCCCATTCCTCGATCGGTGACCGAGCCTCACGGCTATACTTCCCGAACTCCGAGAAGCAGAACATCATCCTGGCTCTGCCCTGCAGAGCTCCTGATTAGAAGGTAACGGCGACTATCAATGCTATGTGGCATTGAGACCCACAAGAGTCTAGTGCAACGAGTTTATTGAAGTTGAACCCGATAGGTCCGCCGCTCTGCTGACAACTCAGACGGGACTTTTAGTGTAGGTGTCAGAGATTGTTCACATAACACAGCCGCAAGATGCGACGTTGAAAATGTGGATCACTAATACGGGTAGATGAAACAAGGTTTTGTTTAATCGTTTCACTGATAGGGTGCCTCTAAGTCTAATAAAGCGGAACTGCAGATCGGCTAGAATAGGAGTACCACAAAACCAAAGTGAACATGTTCGAATTGTGCCCCCACGTGCCTCTGACTCTTCGACCACTCTAGAATACGAAAGCTCAGGAGACAAGCTTCACTCAGTCTCCACAACCAATGTAGATGCAACTCTTGCTGCAATGCTGCCGCATCCCTTGACGACATGGATCTATGCGCGGATAACAGATACTACGCAGTAAACAGCACCAAACCGCTGACACGTGTGATCGTGGCGCCTTGAGCAATCGCAGTTTCCCTGTCTAAAGCCTACAACCTAGGAAAGACTTGATGCCTTGTTGAGGATACTACTACGTAAGAAGCTATTGCCCTTCCGGTGGGCCGCGATGTTGTATACTTGACAAAGAAATTGGGCACTGCTGCATGTAATGATCCGCTCATGACCGCTCATCTGTGAGCATTGCGTAAAGATTTACCCTCATACCCTTGATCAAATTCTCCTCATGTTTTGTGTTCGAGTTTGCGGGAATCTCAAGGCGGCCGAAGCTTGACCAGGGTTTAATGATTGTGGTGGGGACAATCACTCAGTTGCCGGCTGAGGGAGGTTTGAGAATAGACGATGTACGTAATTATCGATGAACTTTTCAAATTTCGATTACCCTGTAACACTAGAAATTTACTGCCAAGATCTAACCCCTCGTTCCTGAACGATAGTTTTTGGGGAGGCAGAGCTGTAGTTTGCTAGAGGTCGCCTTGTCTATGATCCCAAATTTCCCAAAGTGACACAAGAAAAGAAATTGAGGCCAGCCCGGCCGTGTGACAACACTTCATCTTATGTCCCACTGGTTTGCCTGTCGTGATCCGTCTTTTCTATTGCGACTTTCCGGTCAATATCTATCACGAGATTAGGTTAGCAAGAAAGATACCACTCGATGAGGGAAAGCCTTCATACCCCTCCCGAGCCCATGCTGTTTCGGTTCTTCCGCTTGCGCCAGAATATCAATCCAGCCATTGCTAGAATAGATGCCGCCGCTGTTTTGAAACGGGTCAGTTTAGGGCAATATTAGAAGGTTCCATATTGTTGTCTCTCTTACCGATGCCCCCGAGTACCCCAAGGACGGCAACACCAGATCCACTGGTGAAGGATACGCCTTGCGTTGAGCCGATGGCTGATGGTTGAGGTTGAGGTTGGGGCTTGCTTCCACTGTCGCCGTTCAGGTCATTTGACGGTAGAGGGACAGATGGTGCAGTCACTGTGATCGTCTGCGGCGCAGCGGTGACGAATACTGTGTTTGTAGGGCTTGGGATGACTGAGATTTGAGGTTTCGTTGTTGTGATGAACACTGTAGTTTTTGATATCGACACGCTTGGGCGAAGAGTTGGTGACTTTGGGGGTGCGCTAGAGATTGGCGTTGAAGGAGGAGTAATAGCCCTTGGTGGTGCGCTTGATGAGGGTAATACCGCAGGCTGAGTGGTCGTTGGGATCTGAGGAAGCGTATCCGCTGGACCATTGGATGGAAGAGGAACATGAGTAGATGTTGTGGTGGTTCGCTGAGGAGCTGGGAGCATAGGAATTTCAGAGCCTATGAGAGGTCTGTTCGGAGTCAGAGGTCCTGGCGACTTCACGGCTCGCTCTTGATGTTGCTCTGGATCTTGGACTTGATCTTGGTCTTGAGGGATGTCGAGCCGAAGTTTGGGGGGAGGACCTCTCCTACGGTTCATCGAAAGGCCAACCATGTTGTTCCAATTAGCTGTAAGTCTGTGTGGTTGTTCGCTGTGAAGAGGATGTTAGCTTTTGGGTGTTCAGTCATTTTAGACCAGAGCGGGAGAGGCGTTTGACTTACACGGATGAACTGTCAATCCCAGAGCGATGGGTTCGGTGGACCCCGTGGGATACCTATCCAAGATTCTGAGGCTGACGTGCCATGTTTCTGAGACGAGACGACTGGACTTCTCTTGAAAGGACTTGGCAGCGGTAAAGTAGCCGGTCTATCAGTTGCTTAGCTGAATGCACGTGGTGGACTGATCGAAGGAGGGCTTGAGCGTCATGAGGGGACTGTGGCAGATCTTGGAGGCATATGTGGGAGAGTGGGATCCGGAGGGGGTCGCCTGTCGTAGATATCGGCCTGTTGTCGTTGTCATTGACATATCGTGCCCAAGCTATCGCAGGGATTGTCTATTCTTGGCATGGATTGTCTTTGCTTTCTCTCCATTCTCTCTACCTCTTTCCATCTTCGTCTGAGACTTCCCTGCGCGGGTGCGGACGTGTATACTTCACAACCTGCCGCCGCAAAACCTATCAGCCCGGCAGGCGTTTTAGGCTCGGCGCTACATCCTGGAACAGGTTTCACGCTTACTGGACAACGGACCAGTAACATCCCGTAGCGAGCGCGGGTTTGCGTATAACCCAATTGGTTCGAGGGCATTGGGTGCAGAGTCAGCTCTAATGTTTTGCGGCCCCTTCGCCCCGGGACGTGGCCTAGCCGCAAATCACCCTTGGTCGATCAATAACACTCGAGGCTCAAGAAACCTTGTGCCAGTTCACTAAACTTATTTTTGGCAGTATCTGCGGGCTGTGTGGGATGATGTGTCTTGACGTGACGTCGGCAACTGGTTGCCGTTGAACCACAGGGCGGCCACGGCCCCATCTTCCTGAAGTCGAGGAATTCTGCTGCAAGAGCCGGTGTTAGTCTGAAAATGAACTCCGCAAATTGTCTTGGCCTCAGATAGTGTTACTCTGAGAGTGAATTGTGCTTGGTTTGTGGATAATCGGGTCTCCCGAGGAGAGAGAGGATCTGTCAAATATCACCAAGAGTGGTTCCTCTTGGAAATCGTCGTATCTTTTTTCAGACCAAAAAGAGAACGGCAGGACCTTCATTTTGACATCTCAGTCGAAGGCGTTCAAGCAACATCGCCAAACTCCTCACAGCCATGGAACGCCCTAGCAGTGAGACCTTAGAGTCTCGAGCCGCGAGACCTAGCATAGCCAAAAGGATCTCTGCCACAGCCATGGGCGGCTTGCACCTTCTCACTAGCGACACTGAACTCTCTCAAGACCGAGACCACGACGAGTACATTTCGCCAACGAGGACGTCCGTCAGAGGCCGCTCGAGATCTCTCAGCAGGAGTCTCAGCGTTGCCAGCTCGCGCAGCAGCAACTCGTCCATCTTCTTCGGCCGGCCGAACTCATTGCCTTCCATCACGGAGAGCGAGAATGATCCCCACGGCACTGAGTTCCGTGACCCGTTTGCGGATCAAAACTCAATAGAAGGGCATTCTGCTCCGCGTGAAGCTCAGAACCCGTTTGACGACAACAGCAGTGGCGATGAAGGAACAGCCGTCCAGGAGCTGGAGCCAGAACCGCCTTACCACGTCTTCACAAAGAAGCAGAAATGGGTTGTCATCGTCATCATCGGAGCCGCCGGATTGTTCTCTGGTCTTTCTTCCAACATCTATTTCCCAGCTCTCGATACGATCGCACGGGTAAGTCCTGTTCATCCTGCCGGAATCCTCGGAAACTCTCTAATTCACAAAATCTCGTAGGACCTCAATGTTAGCTCGCAGATGGTTTCCCTGACCATCACGTCGTACTTGATCATCCAAGGCATCTCCCCGCTAATTTGGGGCTCGATCTCGGATGCTCTGGGCAGAAGGCCAATCTACATCGCCTCGTTCGCCGTGTACATCATTGCCAACATCGGACTCAGCTTCTCTCCCAATTTCACAGTTCTTCTGCTCTTCAGGGGCTTGCAAGCCGCCGGAAGTGCCTCAACCGTGAGCATTGGTAAGTTACATACGGGAAAATACAACCCTTTTCTCCTCTCCCTTGGACCTCTAAATTTAGCCAAGAAAAAGTCGTCGTAATTCCTTTTACTGACCTGTGCAACAGGAAACGGCGTGATCCAGGATATTTCTCCCCCGGCTGAACGGGGAGCATTTATTAGTTTCTACCAGGCGAGTAAGTCACTATGGACCCTATCGCTGTTTCACTAGCATTACGGTGTTTTGCTCGGTGGCTCGGTTTTAGCTCCTGGTGAGCTCGGAGCTAACACCTCGTAGTCCGAAACTTCAGCATAGCAGTCGGGCCTGTGCTCGGCGGCCTGCTCGCCAACTTCCTCGGGTTCCGGTCCATCTTTGTCTTTCTCCTGATTCTTTCTTCTATAGTCACCTTGGTGATTGTGTTTTGGCTGCCTGAAACCATGCGGAGCATTGCCGGGAACGGCTCGCTTCGTTTGGGGGGCATTTACAAGCCGATCATATGGTACCTTGGCAAGGAGCCAGAGTACCTCGAAGACCCGGATGAACCCATTCCGCGGAAGAAGGTGACATTGATGACCTTTGTGGAACCGTTGCGGCTGTTGATCCAGAAGGACATTTTGATCAACTTGGTGTTTGGTGGCGTGGTCTATACCATATGGACTATGGTCACGTCGAGCACCACCATCCTGTTTAAGGAGCTGTTCGGACTTAGTGACTTACAAACGGGTCTCGCATTCCTACCTAATGGTAAGTAGCCTTCCAAACTTCACCTTCTTTTTCCCTTTTCAAAAAGGAGACTCGCTTACGTGTAGGACAGGACTTGGAACCATTGTTGGATCCGCAATCGTGGGCAAGCTAATGACAAAGGACTATCTCGAGATGGAAGAAGAATACAAGACATCTCATAACATAGCAGGAACAGAAAAGCTCTCGGGGAAGAACATGCCCGCTGAGTTCCCCATAGAGCGCGCCCGCCTTCGTCGTCTCCCCTGGATCGTCCTCATCTTCGTCGCTTCCACTGGCGGCTACGGCCTCTCCCTCAACTTCCCCTCCATCACATCCCGATCAGGCTGGATCGCAGTCCCACTCGTCCTCCAGTTCTTCATCGCTGCGACCAGCAACGCCGTCTTTGCCCTCAACCAGACCCTCGTCACCGACTTGTGTCCCGGAAAGGGTGCTAGTGCCACCGCGATAAACAACTTGGTCAGGTGCGGTCTCGGAGCTATTGGCGTGGCGCTGGTAGACAACTTTGTTGCTACTACGGGGCCTGGCGCCGCGTTCTTGGGCTTGGCCCTCGTCACGGTTGCCGTTGGGCCGTTGGCGGTGATACACTGGTACTGGGGACAGACTTGGAGAGCGGCGAGGATGAGGGAGAAGACGTCGAACAACGAAAAGGCATGAGGCCACAAGGTCTCTGCGTTGCATTAGTCGTCACACCTTGTGGCTTGGTGAGGCCGCGTATGTGACGCCTACCGGTCGATGCATTATCATAAGTCTGTAGCGTTGAGCGTGCATGATTTGGTGATTCTGCGAAAGGAAGTTGAACATCATATTTTGGGCAAAACAAAGAGCAGGATAGAACTACATAGATTTACATTCAGTAGCAGTGTTAGAGGCGGCATCAAGAGTCCACCCAGTTTCACACTTGCATAACTAGAAAATTTCTTTCTCGTCTCCTTTCTCTTCTCTTCGATACAAGGATGAATCCGACCCTCTTTGGTGTACAACAGGGAACGTGAGTGCCGAGTCTTGGCGGAAACGAGGTGTTTGACACATGGGTCCGGGGAGAAATCGTGTAAAACCATTGGCCCATGGGCCTCCTCTCCCACACACGATGAGCAGCACACAACCTGACACCCAACTCATGCTGCCAAGCAGTCTGTCGGCTTTCGAACCATTTCGCTTTCGGGAAAGAAACCTGACAGTTCATACGTCTAGATCGATCGTATGCTGAGGTTTGAGAACGAATTCAAGTACTTGGAAGAAGTCTCCCCAATCTCGGGTATGAGCCCTTGGCTAGTGCACCTTTCCCGAGATTTTAGCTGGCGCAAATTTCCCGAACATGATTCGGCATCCCGATGTCGCATACCCGAGCGGGGTTCATCTTATCTACAGTCCACGAAGAACACACAATATTGATAGAAGCGGTCAGATCGGACCTGGTCCCGCGGCAAAGTTCGCCAGTATTTAATCCATCAATTGAGCAGGAAGGTATGCGGATGTTCCTATCTCCTCTTGTTCATCGATGAAAGACTCACCAGCAAGACGTGTAGCATCTTTAGACTCTGTACTCCGCAATCAAGCAATCATGGTGGAACTTCAACAAAACGGGGAGGCAGCTCAGCCTGCGGCGAAGATCGAGCAGCAATTGAACGCATACGTCGAAAAGTATGTCGCAGAGAACCAGGGCTCGCTGCAAGTCAACAAGACAGCCTCAGGGTCGCTACCTGGGGGAACAACTAGATCCGTGCTGCATTACCTGCCATTCCCATTGGCTTTCTCCGGAGGCCACGACTGTCACCTAACATCCGTGGACGGCGCCGAGTACCTCGATTTCGTGTCCGAGTATTGCGCCGGGATGTTCGGTCACTCTCACCCAGACATCATCGCTGCGATCAATAGCGTCACCAAGTCGGGATTCACCTTGGGCGGGCCGAGTCCCAAGGAAGGCGAATTGGCAGCTTTACTAGTTGAGAGGTTCCAGAGCGTCGATGCCATCAGATTTTGCAACTCGGGAACTGAAGCGAATACCATGGCGATTGGCACGGCGTTGCATTTCATTGGAAGAAAGAAGGTAGGCTGTCACAGTCCCTCGAGCCCGAGATATTTCACTAAACCATACCCCACGCTCAGGTCTTGGTGTGTGAAAATGGTTATCACGGTGGCACATTAGCTTTCACGCCCAACAACCCGCTGATTCTTCCCCACGATTTCGTGTACGGCCGGTACAACGACATTGAGTACACCCGTTCACAAATCACCGACGATCTAGGCATCATCATTGTGGAGCCCATGCAAGGCGCAGCGGGAATGCTTGAGGGGTCAAAAGAGTTCCTCCAGTTCCTCCGAGACGAAGCGACGCGCATCGGCGCCATCCTCATCTTTGACGAGGTCATCACCTCGCGACTCAACTACGGCGGCCTGCAAGAGATCTACGGCATCACGCCGGACATGACCACCATCGGCAAGCACTTTGGCGGAGGCTTCTCGTTTGGCGCGTTTGGTGGGCGCAAGGACATCATGGACCTGTACGACCCACAGGGGCCGCGAAGTCTCTTCCATTCGGGAACATGGAACAACAACGTCTTCTCCATGACGGCGGGTGTCGCTGCCACCAAGCTTCTGTCGAGAACGGCGCTTGAGAGGAACAATGAGCTGGGGAACAAGCTTCGCGACGAGTTGCGTGAGGTGTTCGGCTCCAAGGACGCGTCCATTGTCAAGCTGACTGGTTATGGGAGTGCGATTGGCTTGCACTTCCAGGGTCCTTCGGCAGGCAAGTTGCAGGATCTCTTCTTCTTTTATCTTCTCAGCAAGAGGATATACGTCGGACGTCGTGGATTCCTTGCGCTGAACCTTACTCATGGGGAAGAGCATATCAACAAGGTTCTGGATGCGGTCAAGGACTTCTGCGCAGAAATGTTGTGAGAGATGTTTGTAAGCTTAAGCCTTTGATTTCGGCCCAGATCAAAGGCATATTGGCGTCGACATGCTGCCAGCTCATAGACAATGTCAAAATAAATGCTGTCGATCTCACCCTCTCCCTCACTCGACTGCCGCAATTTCCACATATCGTCGTCCGCTTGGGTCATTCTTTTCAAGCCGGAAGTTTTGGGTAGGTTTTAACTTAACCGCCGACATCACCTCCAATATCCTTTCTTGGCATCACCAACCTCATCGTCATGATGCTTAGAAAGGAAGGTTGATAGCGCAGCATTGGCTTTTGCTTGGCAACCCAAGAGTAACGTGGTATCAACTGCAATTCCAACCTTTAATCGCTTCGGACCCAGCATTCAAATGCCCCCTTGACCCCTGTTTATCGGCGCAGATCAGCCTATCGCGCGGGGTAAACAACACCAACACCGGCACGGTGGTTTGAGCGACCGTGCTCTTTATTAAAGCCTCCCTCCGCAAACCGGTCGGCCAGTCTCATCTCATCCTACTTGCGCCATCCTCACTCATTCTGGCAAATAGCCGCCAAGCTCATGCTATCGAGCCATTGAGCCCCTCTCATCTTCCCCTTGGACCTTCAATCACTAATCCGGCATCGTCTCCGGAAGCCGCCCACAATGCCGGACCTCCGCCCCCGCACCCTCGCCCCACTCCTCCTCTCCCTTCTCACCGGGCACCGCGTTCTCGGCCAAGCATCGCCGGGGTTTCCCATGGTGATCAACACCTGGGGCGGGCCCTTCACAGCAGCCACAGACGCCGCCTACCAGGCGCTCGTCAAGCCGGGCACCTCGGCCCTCGACGCCGTCGAGATCGGCTGCGCGACCTGCGAGGCGAACCAGTGCGACGGCAGCGTCGGCTTCGGCGGCTCTCCCGGCGAGAACTGCGAGACCACCCTCGACGCCATGATCATGGACGGCGTCACCATGAAGTCCGGCTCCGTCGCCGCCCTACGCCGCGTCAAGAACGCCATTGGCGTCGCTCGCCACGTGCTCGAGTATACCTCGCACACCATGCTAGCCGGCGACCTCGCGACAGAATTCGCCATTGAGAACGGCTTCGTCGCCGAGAGCTTGACTACCGAGGCCTCTGCGGAGCGGTGCGCCGCGTGGCGGGCCGCGAATTGCCAGTCGAATTACAGGCAGAACGTCACGCCGGATCCTAAGGTCGCGTGCGGGCCGTATACGCCCGTGGAGCTCGACTCCAGCTCGTCTGGCTACTTTGACCTCATTGCGCCGAATTCAGCGCAGGCGTCACACGACACCATCTCCATGATGGCTCTGGATACGAATGGGATCATGGCGGCTGGTACCTCTACCAATGGAGCCTCATTCAAGGTACCCGGGCGCGTCGGCGACGGCCCGATCACAGGCTCCGGCTCTTACGTTGACGGTGATGTCGGAGCATGCGGCGCGACTGGCGACGGCGACATCATGATGCGTTTCTTGCCCTGTTATCAGGCTGTGGAGAGCATGCGACGGGGGATGAGTCCTCAGGAGGCAGCGAGAGATGCCGTAGTTCGCATGGTAAAGAAGTATCCGGCCGTATCGAGCGGTATTGTGGTTGTCAACAACAAGGGTGAACACAGCGGTGCTGGGTCTGGGTGGACTTTTACGTATGCCTTCAGAGGTGGTAAGATGAACGCAACCGAAGTTGTGACTGTGCCGCCCGTTGTTGTCACCCGGTCTTTGCGCGTTGAGTCAGAATTGAGGTAGAGAACGGTCGTGTCTACTACGTATGAGAGTCATTGATGAATAGATATGATTGAATCTTACCCCCGGACAGACTGAGACTCGACTTCACAACGAATGACCAAGTTCTCTTCAACACAAGATCTGGACTCTCTGCGCTACATGGGTCATATCCGGCTATGCACAACGCTCGACTCGTCGAATGAGGTTCAACTACAAAAGACGTCAAAGCAAGGTTGTCTATCACCATTGTGGGGTTGCAGCACACCATTGCCATGCCTGGCTTTCGCCAGCTAACTTGCAGGATGATCAGCCAATCCAACCATATGAGTACCTGGTCGATAAAACTCTCTACCGATATCGCAAAATCCTATCTTCTTGGCAGTTCAAATGTTCTCTCTTCCCACAACTTGACGATACCACGAGCCCACTTTTGGCCGCATCGGCAGGATTCGCTGCGACCATCCATTGAAGTGCTAAGATTGACGCTGCTCCTCAGGAGCTCGGTAAGAATTGCGCAATGGCGGGCAACTTCCGGGCGGGATCCAGCTTGGACGAGGGCTCACGCATCGTCATTTATCAACTCGCTATCCGTCGTCGAGCGAGTATGTCTCGAACTATCTCAGTTCTCAATCGTTCTCATCTTAGAGGTCTCTGGTCGATTGCCCCAAAGACTCTGCGACAATGGCATCTGCTCTGAAAGAGTCAGTTCCGAGAGACAAGTGGTGGGAGTGGAGATGGTTCTCGCCAGATGACACGAAGGAGGAGAGGCTTCTAATCACGAAGATTGACCTTCTCTTGGTACCCTACTCGGTCCTCGGTACGATCTATCCTTCTCGCGTAGTCTCCCAGTTATCGGGCTAACATTCAGCTCGAAAGGCTATTGGGTCAAATATGTCGATCAATCCAATTTGAACAATGCCTACGTCGCCGGCATGAAGGAGGACCTCGGGTTTTACGGAAACGAGCTTGTTCAGTTACAAACGCTGTTCACTCTTGGATCGGTCTTGGGCCAGATCCCTTTCTTGTATGAATGATGTTTCTACAATCTGCTGTTACACACTAATAGGAAACCAGATTCATCATGACCTATGTCCCAATCCAATATCTCATCCCAATTTGCGACGTTTTGTGGGGAGTTTTCACGCTTCTACAGTATCGTGTTCACTCTTACGCAGAACTGGCCGCTTACAGATTTATGGTCGGATGGTTCGAAGCTGCGTTCTTCCCAGCGATGCATTACGTATTCGGTAGGTATTGAA